CACGAGTTGTCGAGATCGTGGGGGACACGGACCATGACTCTCACAGGCCTTACATCCCCCGGCCCCTTTCCTTCGACAGGGTTTCTGCAGTCTTCACACAGCAGCTCGATCTTGCGGAAGGCAGCTTCCATGCCTCTTGCCGGAGCACTGAGAACAGCGGAGGTCGCTTCGACCATGCGCCGTCTCTAGCGCGCTAGATGACCGGCCTAGTGACACCTAGAAATACTTCAATTAGCGAAGGCAGTTCGCAACCAAATCTAGATGAAAAAGCCAATGGGGAAGAGCTACTGTACCTTCGACGCGCTTGAGTTGGACCGTCGAGACCGATTATTCCTGCGCGAGCGTTGGAGGAGCAGCTTCGGCGGGGCCCACTGAGATCTCTCACCAAACCATACGGCCGCCTTTGTGCCCTGCCGAGAACAGGTGGCATATATCAAGGAAAACTAAGAGGAGGAGCCTACGCAAGCAGGCTGCTACTGTCAGGTAGCTCTGAGCCTGAAGCTCATAAATGTGGTCCTGGAGGTGCCCGGGTGTGTGGATGTTGATCTCTCTTGTCATGGCGCAGTGTTCCATGGCAATCCGCCAGGGCAGCGTCTGCGGGCCAACGACTAGCAGTCGTAGGTTCTTACACAGCTCCTCTAGTCGCGTCCGGGCTTCCACCCTCATGTGCGCTGTGAACAAGGTTAGGAGGTAAAGGACAGCGCACACCTTGCTGTCTGTCCAATAATCAGCTGCAGCCTTTTGCGTCCAAAGAAGCCCAGTGCATCCCGTGCTGAGGGTGCAGTTCAGAGTTAAGCTCCGTTCTTCGCAGCAGGTGTGCAGCTTGGTGTTCAACGGTTTAACAGGCGCCACAGGCTCGTAGAGGCGCGCAGCAGCCCATGAAGAGAAAGGACCAGCTTACCCTTCAGCGTGTGAGCAGCAGCCCTCTTCTTGTGATGGCCCAGCTGTTTGCGCAGCCAGCGCTGCTGCAAGGCCTTCAAGGGACAGACGCACTGCGCGACACAATGCCCCATGATCTTGCCCTCCTGACGTTGCCCAGGCAAATTGTCATAGTTAGATAATGCCGTTCACAGAATCGGAAGATAAGCATCCAGACATTGCCCACCGATTGGCATTTCCAAAGCACAGGCTTCCCTCTAAGGGGGCCAAGCGCCTGGTAGATGACTGAGCCATGGCGAGTGCTAGTGTTTGCCGATGGAGCTAGCATGCTGTCTGCTATTCTTCTGAGTGATAGACAACTCCTAAAAGGTTAACGGTAAGCGGTGATGAAAGAGATGCCTACTCGGGCTCGCGCGGACCATCTGCGTGTGTGAGCCAAAACAATCCTCCAAGGCCAGCTTCCACAACACTGCATGTCCTGCCGGGGACTGCTAGCTCGAAATCGCACGGACGGTGCTGTGAGCATCCTAACCGTGTGTCGATCTATACATCCAGCTTGCTCATCCTTAAGGCAGAGTGCGAACTCCCGGACTTCCACTTTGTAGGTGTCAGTCGTATAAGGCAGGTGCTGCGTGGATTCCCTGGCTGGTAGCGAACGTTCATGCCAGTTTCTCAGAACATCGTAAAGCCTCCGCGTGTTCCAAGCCCCTCGAAGACTGAGGGTGGCCGCGGCTGTTCCTTCTTGTAAGGCGAGAGCGCTCGATTTCGAAAAGTTCCCCGGTGTGTAGAGCTTGGGAATCTCACTCGCCGTGATCACGATGCCTTGAGAATACAGGCCGTCCTGCAAGGCCGCGTCCCGATGCGCACCTGACATAAGCTTGTGCTCGTTGGTCTTCAGGTAGTTGGAGGTAACCGCCTTATAAGGAGCTTGCTGTACGATACAGAGTCAGGGACAAGCTGTGTTGGAGGTGAAGCACCCCCTCACGGTCGCCTCCAAGCCAGAAGCATAGGCCATGGAGCCGCCGCCAAAAGGTCGCTTTGCCCCCTGTACAGTTAGGGACCAGCGGCGCAAGGCTCTTGCTCACTTCCGCAGTGGCATTTTTCATCTCCACTGGTACAAGTATGTTGACGCAGACCTGCAGGAACGGCCACATACAGTTTTGCTTTGTGGTGCCGTGGGTTCCGTCCGGCGCGAAATAACTGTTGGCAGTTTTTTGTTGTGGGAATGGGGCATTTTTACTCGGAGACGGACTGGTTGAACAAAGGGAGGCGGACTACATTGCTCGAAACTCCACGCAAAAAGCCATTCATGTGGCTTCTGCCGCTGCCGCTAAGTAGAGGAACGGAATGCGCTACAGCTGGCCAGCGCCCAGAATTACCCTGAAGTAAGAGCCCGGCTCTCCCTTGCGAATTTCATTGTCAATCGCAACTACATTGAAGCTCTTTTCGTCAGCAGGATCAGCCTGTGTGGGGAGTCTCCTGCGGAGGACCTTCCGCGTGAGTGCATCCCGGCAGCAACGTGCGCTTGAGCCGGTCCGGACGAACATGGGAGTTGGTAACAAACAACCTACAAAACTGCCAAGAAGTGAGACAGGGCACGCCCTCATTTCGATCCGACGGATGGAGCTAACAAATTCTTAGGCTGCGAGCCCAATTGGACAGGGGGCGGAGAGGCACCACGGCGGTAGCTCCATGGCCCGCTGCTACTGCTCATGGGGGTGACTGCAAGGGGGCAAGGGGGTGCTTCACCCCCAACGCAGCTTCTCCCTTACATTCTGTCATTTGACATGTGAGGAACTATCATCATGCGCAACACAGCCGAATTTAAAAACACCTGCAGACCAACACTGTCTCAGGTCGGTTACAGCCAAGCTTATTCCTCCATGTGGAGCGCACTTGAACCGGTCCAAATGATCATGATGTTGCAATGATTTTACTACACACCGAAAAATTCCAAAAAACCAGCCATTGCTTCTGGCACCATGGCGGCGAAATTTTTCAGCAACTTCCCCTGCCGGCCCTCCATGACTTTCAAGACTACCGGCCGATGAGACGTTCGTTTGATGGCACCGACTGTCCGTAAGCCGCCGCACACTGGGCCAACCTCGGCCCAACAGAGCGACATCTCCTGACCTCATAGGTGGCGCAGTTGCCGCCTCATGGATGTACACCTTCGGTTAACGCTTGACTTGCGCGCGTGTCCGCGCAAGGTGACCAATGGGATTCAAGTGCTCTAAGGCCCGGGACATTTTGCGAGGAGGTTCCGGTCGAAGCAACCTGGCTTTTCTAGACGGATGCACAACAAAGCTGGCTTGCATCAGTTTGTGTGAATACTTTTTGAGATTGTGATTTTTCACAATTTTTTGCGTGCTGGTTTTGAACCATATGTGGCAGTGGATAGCTAAAAGATTTGCGGGATCGTGAATCGGGCATCTTGATGTCCAGTGCGGGCGTTCCAATCCACTTTTGACCCCATGCTCAGCTGCGGCGGCAACACGATGATGCGTGTGCATCCATTGCCTCTTTGTATGCTGAGTGGCTAAGTGATTCGGGCATGTGACGGGATCATCCAGGCATATTGTCAGATATCTGAGAAAGATCGGATGGAGGTGGTCCCGGTATTCTGTGATGATAATTGATCATGAGTCGGTGGAGTAGTTTACAACTTGAAATATCAAAGGGAAATAACAGCCTTTTCAATCGTGATTGATCGATTCTTATGTCCCGCTATTTCCGAAATCAAATTTAGCAGTGAAATTTGTGGTTGTGCACCTTCCCGACAAATCAGTTTGGTTGGCAAACATTTCCTTTGTCGTGAAAAATCCCTCGAACTCCCGAGCATGTTTGCACCTTGCAGTCTTGCAGGCATGTCCATGTGTTGTTTGCTAACGTGCACATGCTCACGTGCCGTGATGAGTTGAGCTGATTCCGTTGGAGTTGAGGCTCCGAGGGAGCAATAAACAATTTTTGTGCCTACCCAACCCACCCTGGGGGATGGAGGCTCCCTGCTAAAAAATCTGTGGGATCGTGAATCGGGAATCTCGATGTCCAGCGCGGGTTCCAGGCTCAACAGGGCTTTTCCTTCAAGTGTAAAGCAAGCTGGTGGGCGTGCCTCTCCCTGCCAGGATGATATGATGGAGGTTGAAATTATGTCATGATGTGGATTAGATTCATGCTCAAATCCAATCATGCAATTAGATTTTACTTCATGTCCCGGGCGTGCCTTGAACTTCGGTTCATGTTTCAATTCAGTGTATATTCACTTGTCAACCCATCAAAATCTGCTCATGTCCGCGTCTGCCGCGTCAAATTCAGGAGCGTGAGCTGCGATAGGCCAGGCCTTTGTAGCATCATGTTAAAAGATTTTTGAGCAACCCCGATCGGTTAATTAGGCTTGGCAAGCAGGTAGGATTTTGGGGAATTGCAGCGTTTCAAAAGCCCGTAAGTTTCGCAGGCTTGTAGTCAAATATATACATACTGGTGCAATTTGGTTTACTGCATATTCTCACGCGACACGTTCCCACAGCGATTTTGAACTTTGACCAGCATTTCCATGATCCGAAATTGCAAAATTGCACGTTGCGTGGTTGGATGGTGATGGGGCAGCTCAGCAAGCCGCAAGTGCTTGTGGCTGCTGGAGCAACCGCCCTGCTATTGGCGGGTTTTGTTGCTCCTTGGCTACATGTTGATGGCAACAAAAATCAACAGAATCAGTTGCAACACGGATTTTGCAACTGTCAGACGATGTTGCTGCTGGCGCATGTTGAGCTGCAGAGCAAGCTCTAAGTTACGTATAAACATGTCGCCGTTTGCCATGTAGTGGATGATGCACAGAGTTTGAAGTTCGCAGGGTCTGACCGTTTTTTTTGGAAATTTGTTGTCAATCAACAAGCCGGCGGGCGAGGCTTGAGCAAGGTATTTTATTTCTGATATGTGCATGCTTGGTAGATCAGGCACGCCGCAGACGAGCGCAGACAACGCAGAAGGCTGCGCACGAAGTACTTGGCGGCTGTTTTAAATGAAGCAGCGACGCATCCCTGACGGTTCATGTGTACAAGGTCTACGAGCTCCCAGGGTGGCTCGCCTGGTTGGAAGAAAGTTCCTCGCACCTGCAAGTACGAATGCGGGAATGGGAGGTCGGTTCTTCGAGTCATGCTGTCCCTACACTGTCATTTTTAAGCTGAACGCAGGTTGATATGATATTGAATGAACACGCAGCTCTGGGCATTCTGTGAAAATTGCCAGAGTAATGCTAACGGCATCAGAATGTTTGGAGAGGACGGTCACTGGCGCCGGAGTCGGGGTTGGCATGGCTCAGACCTCATCCACAGCCCGGACAGTGCAGTGTGCTTACCTCAGTCTTCGTTCCAGCATGGCTAAGGTCATCTCTCCAATTTTTTTCAGGTGTGGGATTCAAACAAGAACAGGCTTACCTTGCCCAACCTGGGCTCTTTCTTTTGAAGGGATTTCCAAGAGGCGCTTTCGCAGTTGTACGTCTCCAGGTAGTGCCAGCGTTGTAACCTTCCCGAAGCGCTGTGGGACAAGTTGGGGACAGGCTCAACATGTTCCGAAGTTTGTTCTCACACATTCTAGCTTTTCAGGTACATCCCTTGCTACTTCTACAGCCCGGACGATGCTTTGGCCGCAAAGGGAGATTTCCAGCAGGTTTGACCCCAAAGCAAGACATGAAAATTGTATTGTTGTATAACGTGGAACTAGCAGTGGGGCATCTGAAAGCATTAGATGATCCGCAACTTTTATGCATCCTTGCTTCGCGCTAACAACGAAATGCCGAGCAAGCGCTTGGAAACTGTGAGACAATGACCGTCCCAGAATGGCAGGCTTCGGGGTGGGCGAACCAGCCCAGAAAAAACATGAGGTTTCAGGCTGGCAAACATTAGATTGAACTTCATGAATGCAACACGAAGCTCCTCCTGACCATTCTGTATCTGAGGAAAAGATACTGCAGGCAGGGGCTGTGCTGTGCAGCAGCTTGTTTCCCATCGGAGCAGCTTGGTTACTCTGACATTTGCTATGGTGCTGAAATTGCATATGCCATCGGAAGAGGAGAGGCTCAAGCTGCACACAGCCAACATCCATCCTTCCGCGTCTGCGTAGACCTCACAATGGCCGAGCAGTGCCAGCCACCAGAACTCAAGGTAGCGATCATCGGGGCAGGGATGGGAGGTTTGACCCTGGCAAAGGCCCTTCTAAACGATGGAGGACATGTCCAGGTTCGTCTTTACGAAGCCTGGGATGATTGGAAGGTCCGCGGCGGTGCTCTGGGTCTTGCAGCCGGTGCCCGTGTGCTGCAGCGCCTCGGGCTGGGCATGGAGCTCGCTGCGATATCGAATCAGAATCAAGGTATGCGCTACTACGCGGAGGGAAAGGAGCTCAACTCTGCGTCTATCCCAGGAGACTTCGTGATGCGCCCTGACCTGCAAAGAATTGTGGTAGAGTCCTTGCCAGCTGAGACCATCAAGCTGGGGCACAAGTTAGTCGATATTGTAGAAGACCAGGATGAGGTAAGGCTGTCCTTTGAGAATGGAGTCACCGACTCTGCTGATGTGGTTGTGGCCTCGGATGGTATACATAGCTTTGTCAGGCAAAAGGTATTCGGGGCAGACCAGCCAGTCTACACCGGCTACAGGGTGTTGTATAGCGTCTCATCCAAGCCCATCCGCCCAGATCCCACGATGGCTTCAATGCACTGGCTGCAGGCAGACGGCACTGGCTTTGCCGTGCTGGACGTGACAGCTGGCAAAGGGGAGGGCCGCCATGACATTTGCGCTGTGATCTTGGGAAGCCAGGAAGCAGTGACGGACCGCTGGGACTCCACCATCGTCCGGGAGAGGTTTGCCGAGCTTGCCCGGGAAGCAGCCCCGAACCATGAAGTTCTGAGGCGTTCCGTCGAGAGCGCGGATGTTTGTTTCGACTGGGGCGTCTACCAGCAGCCGGTCAGGGCATCCTGGATTTCGAATCACGGCCGTGTGGTGCTTCTCGGTGATGCTGCCCATGCCACGGCACCCTTCATGGGTCAGGGTGCCAACATGGCCATGCATGATGCCTGGTGCTTGTCCCGTGTCTTGTTGAACGAGGACCTCTCACTTCGTGAAGGCCTTCGCTTGTATGAGGCCAGCCGCAAGTCCTACTGCGAGAGCGTTGTGTCTGCCAGCTCCAAGGTGGGGAAGATGCATACAGCCACTGGCCTTCAGGCCCTGGGTCGCAACTTTCTGCTGAAGCCCTTGCTTTTATGGAACCTTCGCAAGACCTGGGCAGTGGACCCCACGGAGCGCAATCCTTGGGAGACTGAGCCTTCCAGCTTGCAGCGCCTGGGCCTTCGACTCCGAGCCCTGTGCGCCTGAGAGGCAAAGGCTTCAGTTTGAGAGCTTTTGAGGTCTTTGGAAAGTCTGGGTTGTGCAGCTTGCCTGGTACCTTCCATGGTCGGCTCGTTTGGCCTGACCTGAACTCTGTGGCATTGCATACAGACTGCACAGAGTCTATGCCCGAACGTGGTTTATTCTGGAAAGTTTTAACCTCAGATTTTCGTTGCCAACTGCTGGGCACCTGGCCTGCAGATTATGAGGGCATGCACGACCGACCGAAGCCAAGGTGCTTGAGCAAAACGGAGTTCTGCTTGATGTAGATCCTGGAACAGCAGGCGTCCACCTCTAGTCACCAGAATGTCAAACGCAGATCACAATGATGGCCCCTCGTGCTCGTATGCTCCAAGTCTTGTTTGGTGGCTATGATTGTTATTGTGCTAGTCGTGGTCTGATCACTAGTAAGACTGCGATGAGTCCTGCGATCAGCATTGCACTCACTATGGTGGTGGTGTTTTGACCAGAGTTTTCCTGTGAGGGCCCCGTCGAGTTTCGACGTGGCTCCGAGAGCCACCGTGGGCTTTGCCATGGCGGGGCCAGGAGCTTGGCAACCTGCTTTCCCCGAAAACCAGGAGATTCTTAAACTGGTTCCGGCAGAAGGGTCTGCAGCTGAAGGGTTTGTTTGAGCAGGCCTTGAGGGCTGGTTGATCTGTGTATGCTGCTCAGAATAGATGTGTGCAGTTATGATTCTGAGGGCGGAGGGTACGATTGGGGGTCGGTCGTCGTAGGATCCAGACCTGGCAGGTCCTAGGCTGCCTGAGGAACCTTTGCGGTTTGGTTCTGAGAATTGTGGTACAGGGTTCAGCAGCCTACCGGAATAACATGGCCGGATCCCTTGCGAGTGGAACTGCTGAACCTTAATGCTCGGCATGCCAACGGGTCTTCCAGAGAAAATGAAGTTTCTGTTTTTCACTGCCCTCGAAGCCATGTATCTTGCCTGAAGCCGCTCGACAATCTTGTTTGCAAATATTCGTTCCTGCAAAGTGTGCTGCATACGAGCCGTCTACTGAAACCTGGGGAGTCCGATTGATTAATTCTTTGGCCATCCTCTTGCAGGCTATGACGTCAGCAGTGGGCTCAGACTGCGCGGCTGCTGTTTCATGTTTCCTCGCCTTGATATCTTTCAGGTTCAGGAGGTTTCAGGTGCCTTATGCTACGGGTGTCTTCCAAGAAGCCTGAGGCCTCCAGGATGGAATGTCCTGCGCTGTGCTTCCAGGTTTTGAGGCATGAAGGGGGTCTGCAATTACAAGCAGTCAAACCTTTATAAGTAGCTTATTTTTGGTTTGTAGGGGACGTGATATAGTATGTGGGGGGGTCAAACACGGCTTATGTTCTTTCATTCAATTATACTTAGAACCTGTAAGGAAGGCACTCCGCAGAAGGCCTGTTTACAAGGGCTTCGCAGGCAGGCTGAGGCTTCCGCGCGAGTTGAAGAGGGATGCTTACGGGTTTTTAGTGGGAAATGGATTGGCTAATCCCTATAAAGCAAAATCCTGCTTTCCCTACTAGGTAAGACAGAAGGACAAACCTCAAATTTGCGACCAAAGAGGCTTCGTGCCCACCGTCTACAGTGCTTCTAAAGCCGAGCCTCAGCCCCAAATTGAGAGCCTTAAGTATGCACACTGAATATCCGTGAAGTCTTTTCCGTGCAAAGGCCCTGTGGACAAGGTCCAGCTGCTACCCTGGACATAAATCAAGTCTCTCATGCCATGTAAGTTGTTATGGTGGCATCATTTGTTGGTTTTGATGTATCACGGCTGCACTCTTAGTCCCATCATTGGAGTCATCCAATTGTTCTTCTCGTTTAGTGCCACTACGTTTCTTCTCACTTGCCTACTTCCTCGACTACAAAACCTTGGCTGTGGTTCCTTTGAGGCCATGGATGATGTCCTTGGCCATCTTGCCTTCTTGGCTGCCGGCACCGGGCCCTGGAACGGTGCGACGGTGCAGGCTCTCTAGTAACTAGTAGCAATGCCTAGAACTTGTAGTATCATTGTGCTTCGTACTTGTAGTAACAGCTGTAGGAGCAGCAGTAGCAGCGGAGAAGCAACAGCAGTAGCAGAAGCAGAAGCGACAGCATCAACAGTACTCACCGGCAGGTTAGTACGTAAACGAGTCTTTGATGTCATTGGCAGCTCGTAAATGTATCCATACTAGTCTTCATGCCAAACATCGTGTTGCATTTCCGTCTGTGATCAGAGTGGCTTGTGAATGCCAGTGTTGCTTAGCAGCACTTGAAGTGTGTTAAGCAAGTGTTTCTCTTGTTTGTATAGACTGCTTTGTCCAAGCTCTTATGGTCAGGTGAATTGCAAGCTCAGCAGACCTGATTCTCGGCTTGAAAAGCAAAGCGGCCTCCTCTACCACCAGCGAGTATCTGTCAAGCCGCCCAAAAAGGGTAGACTTTCTTGCTCGAAGCCTTAGGTTCGAGTGGGCCAGACGCTCTTGTTAGAGGGTCGAGTCGTGAAGCAGGAGCTCCAGTGCCTTCCTTGAGTATGGCGCAAAAACCTTGGAGAATGCAAGCTGGTGGGCAAGGTGCTCATGAATCTTAATTACTCCTTAGGGCCTGGTTCATAACGTTGCTCCACCCCCGGGCTTATGAGTTTTGAATCTGATACGCTCCTCTCTCCTGGAAACCCTCCCCACAACCTCCAGGCTAAGTGCAAACTTCGACCTTTGCAAAGCTCGCGGAAGCCTTAAAAACAAACAGCAGGAGAAGAGAAAGGTCTTCGTGGAAGCCAGATTATTGGACGAGGCCATGAGCTCCATGAGCTTCTGTATGTCATCCCTGCATCACTCCCCCACACCAGGCTTCAATGCTTGTGATTTTCAGCTTAGACTTTTTCAAGATCGTAGGACTAGATTTTTAATCTGGTTTGTGAGGCCTGACAGATTGGCCTATTGTTCCTTGAGGATGTTAGCGCTTTTCTATTAAACAAGTGTTTGCGGATTTGCCGTTGGAACTAATTGACAGGCGAAAGTTGAGAGGTGTTGTTCTGCCGGAAGAAAGTTTTTGGGTGGTTGCGTTGTTTGACCCTAGTGGTTTCACTCAAAAGCAGTCCGTCATTGTGGTTCCACTGCAGTTGTGCCTGCATGTCCCTCGTGTTTAGAGCCTCGGACCTAGATTGGTTGCGAATCACAAGCATTGGGCTAGTACCAGGCTTGGACAGCCTTTGGCAACAAAGGTTTATGACAGAGTTTCCCAGCTGCGACAGAGTTCTTGTGTGGGGCAGAGGTGTATAAAGCGCTTGCAACCAAGCTAGGGAAGCAACCGGACGCGACCCAGGAGCACTTGCGGGGGGCATTGTGCCAAACGGGATGTTTTTCGCTCGGCCTCATGTTTGCACTATTTGGAAGGGTATCGGCTCTTCTCGAACCCGAGCGAGCTGACATTATGACTTTCATCACCACGAGCAGTGCAAACTGTAGAAGAGATGGCAGTAAGTTGTACCAAGGTCGTTGGTCCACATTCAAAGTAGTTGTGCAGAACAACAAGTTAGCGCACTTCCTTGGCAGTAGTGGTTGTTCCCTGAAGGCCGGCGAGGTCTACGCCACTATGGACGGGCTGTCTATTGTAGGCCCGACTGCGATGTGTTTTGAATGATTGACAGCAGTACTGTTAGAAATACTCTACATGTTGTGAGATTTGTGAGCGTACCCGCAAGAAATCGATCACGGCAGGGATTTGAGATTTCAGGGGTTGTGGTAGGGATGCAAGATGACTTAAGTTCAGTTGTAACACTTGCTTTACAGAACGGGACGCGTTACAGGCCCTTTTTACATCAGAACAGAATCCTAAACTTACGCATTGTTGTCCCTTGCATGTCATGACCTTGCCTCTTCCTCCAGGGCTTTAGAGCTCTCTTTGGTGAGGCAGGCGCCCGCAACTTCTTCACTTCTGTCAACGTTCTCGATTTGGGGCTCGTTTAGGGTAATTCTTAATCAGATCAGAAGCAATGGGCACGCTAGCCTGTCATCAACATGTTTTCTCCAAGAAAGAACCAAATTTCAGACATACTATTCTCAAAAGGCCGACTGAAGCAAGCCAACTGCACCGGCAATTCCTGTAATGCGATCTCAGAAGACCATTGCGGACGTATCACACTCAAGTAGCTTTGGTTCGCTGGATGATGACTAGCTGGTTGAAAAGCCAGGGAGCCTTCTTCTAGAAGTGTTCAGATGGGGAATGGGCGCGCCTTTTCAGGTTCAAATTTTCATTGGTACAAGATTCGGAGTTCCGACACTTCGGTGGTTTGGGGCGTTTCACTTCAGAGAGAGTTTTGACCGTTCTGTCAACTTATTCCAAGAATGTGGGTTCATTGGATGCCAAAATGTCAGCAGCTTCCTTCATGCCTGACAGCTGCTGAAGCAGGTGCCAAAATCCAGGCCGAGGACTGGTCGCAAATCATCGGGAACGGGGGATAGTGGGTGAGGTTGTGTGGGTTTCTGTGTTTGGTTCATTTGTGCTTGATGAAGGGCTTGTTCTAGGTTCGTCCTGAGCCGATTCCTCAAAACTGTTTTTAAACCCAAAGGCAGCTCTTTCACGGTTTTGGTGGGTTTCGATGTCCATGGTTGCTGCTCAGCGTCAAAGGTCAATGACTATTGTTTCAGGGTAATCGTTGACACAATTCGCATAGATTTGCTCTTGCTAAATGATTGTTTGTTCTGTTTCAATGACTGGCCTAAAGTTCACGGTTTGCGGTTTGCTTTCGGGCTCCTTGGGTACCGAAGTGTCCACAAACAGGGATCTATTCATATCATGTATCAAGCTTGTGGACACAAAAGGCCTCCAAGGCCTTTGCAAGAAGCATGTTACATAGAGTGATTGCTTGAGGTACTGGCACTGAGGGTCGGAGCAGCTCAGCATAGGGCACAGGTACGGTACCCGTGTGGCAAGGCAGTTTGCTGAGATTGCGGTTGACAATGTTGCCTGGCCATGAGGGCTTGAGTGAGAGTGCATGAGGCTTTACTCGCGGAAGCAAGGCCTTGGAAGCAAAGATACAAAGATACAACCTCCGGCCGGATCTCACAAGATTTGCTCTGCTTCACTGGTACGAGGAATACCAAAAACGAAACTACCCTGGTAGACTTCTATCAGCCTATTACGATGACGCTGATGACGAATGACGACGAAGACTGCTAGCACCACTATTTCCAGTATTCGACCTAGTCTCACTGCTATAACGGTATTGTTGCTCTGTGGATGGGCGTTCCATGCTCGAGAAGGAGACAGACCTGGATCAGCGACGCTGGCATTTCGATGACGAGCTGCGGGCGGTGCTTGGCTTGGAGGGTGTTCCAGTGACCATCGCCCCTACGACCCTATGAGAAGGGCTATAGTTTCCAGGGCATGCAGTGGCAGTCCCATCTTGAAAAGAAGAGGGGCGTTGCTTTCGGCATTTCAAATCCTCGCAAAGCTGGAATTCAATTTCCAATCTGCCTAGCAAATCACGGGGTCATCCAGACAAGGAATCTACTGATTCGATGTTCCCTTCTTGTGGTCTGTTGCCGAGGTTTTTCATAGTTTTGAGGAAGTGACTGTCATGGAATCTCGTTTCGTCGGTTGAGACGTTGCAGTAGCCGTGTTTGGGATTCGAACCGTGCACTTTTCCACGCGTTCTCCTTGACGAATTCAAGCATCAAGACAATTGCCTTCAGCATCCAGCGAAAGTGTAGATACAGGATGATACAGGCAGATATCATGGTCATCTGTGAAATTAAGGTTGTCTAGTAGTACGATTCAGGGAGCATCAGCTATATAGGTAATTCCCCTGCGCTGTCAGCCTGGAACTCCCATGAGCCTTTGGCCCCTTGATCCTTTGGACGGCCGGCAGAATTGCTGCACCTCTCGCCGATACGGCTTTTGGGGTGTTGCACGTCAGTGATTGTTTGAGGCTTTTGCGGCAGCCTTACAAGTTGAAGGCTTATCATCAGACTGCACTCAGGCTGTAGGCCCTTTTGAAGCCAGCGCGTAGTTCCTTTTTATGGTGAATCTTTGCGCTGCTACTTGCTGTCCGCGTGTGCAAAGCAATGTGAGGCTTGGGAGGCGTAGCTTTCTAGAACATGGATCCTGGCACATGAAGCTCACCCGTCTGCCCCCGGTAGTTTCTGTCCTAAGTGTCAACGAGTTCCAGGTGCTTGACAGCCCGGAGCACCGGCAAGTGCTTGGAGGTGCCAGCTGGCTTGCTTGCAGCCTCGCATCAGTCTAGTCCAGCAATCAGGAATCATGGCAACATGAGGCATGGCAAGGCAATCTTTCCTCAAAACTGTGGCAATTTAGAAGAAGCCCCACGTTTTTGCCGCCATGGGATGCGCATCATCCACAAACGTCGCTAGCATTGATGAACTCGAGCTGCAGCTCGATCATGGCCACCTATTCAGGCCCAAAAGATCCGAGAAGCATATCAGTGCGTCAAAACAGGTGGACACAGCTGAGCTTAGCCACGTCCTGCCAAATGAGCTGGCAGATGACGTGTCCACGGACTTCAGCACAGATGAGCCCGTGAGGAAGTGGTCTGCTGACTCAGAAGACGGCGATGACAGTGACACCGACAGCTTCAGCAATGTCTCCATTCAGATCCATGTCCCCCCACACTTGCAAAGTGACGTCAAACAGGAGCCCATTCTCACCAACTTCAGGGAGCCATCCCTGGCCGAATGCTCTTGGAACATGCCCAGCCTCCGCTCACGAGCCAAGGATCTTCCTGTTGGTACCATGGTAGCTCCAGACCGGGAACTGCATGACCAGTACATGAAGAAACTTGACAACTACCTCAAGGTGATCTCCACCACACCGCGCAGGCTGGAAACCCAAGTTCAGGTGAAGAGGATGATGAGTGGAATGAGCCCAAGACGTGCAGAAGTTGGGGCTGACAACAAGACCCGCAAGAGGAAGGACGCCCTCAAGAGCCTAAGCCTCTTTTGAGGGAGAATGTGCGCACGGCATTGAAACACATTTGTCGAATATATCCATTTTTGTGACGAGAATGTTTCGTGTGTCGCATTCTGATCAGCTTGCAGACAACCTGCCCGAGCAATTCTCGCATCCACCAGCCCTGTTGTTGTTCATCCTTAGCACTTTTTGGTTGACACTGGTTGGGTTTGCCAATGCAATCGTTGACTCTGCATGCTGCATTGGAATGGCAAGGGTATTTCTGTACACGTTGCACCCTGAGGTGAGCTTCTTGGTAAAAACTCTGTCTCAGTTCATCTTTGGCAGTATCTAAGACTACCTGGTTTTCATCGTCAGTGTTATCCAGGTGTTTGGAAGAAGTTTCGACATCAGCTCAGGTGGTGTACAGCAGGCCATGCTGCGAGTATGTACAACAAGGCAAACATCCTTGGCTCTGCCTGGAGCAATAAAACATATGTTTGCCACTTTATCTCAGGCCTGCCACGCCTTTCAATGGCTTTTTTGGCTCGCCGCCAGTTTCCGCCAGTTTGAATGTTTCTTGTGATTCGAGTGGTGCATCTATGTTGGAGAGTTAGATTGTAGTCTGTCGGCTTTCTGTCCTTCTTGTCTAACCGCTAGATCTCACCAGCTTTGACCAGAAAAGGCACTGCTCAATCTTTCAGGGGCGGGACACAGTCTAACCCCTGGCACTTAGGTAGCCACCTACTGCCAAATATATTCCCTTCCTTCCGCTTTCCTTTTTTCGTGGGACGTCTGCAAGATTTAAAGGCCACGGTTGCTCAGCTTGGAGATCAGGGCCGTGATTTGCAGAAGCTCCCACTTTCCTCGCGGGGACGCCCAGGAACTGCCCGCACGAAGCCCACGACTTCAGTGCCCAGGGGTAGCTTTTATGGCAAGTGATGGGTAGACTGCGTAGGTAGACCCTTCAAAGGTACCAATGCGCATCTCAACGGTGCACAAGTGTTGGATAAGAACTACAATCTTTTTCTAGTCATGCGTTTGTACGAGCACTTGCGAGGGCGACCATCTGTGTAATATTTTCCGTCACAGTACTGCAAGGATGAGGGAGCTATCATTTCTTGATTTGAGTCAAGCATTTAGATGAGGAACCCGGCATTGTTTTGTTTGTTTAATGCACGAATGACAGCTGCCCAATCCTTGAAGCAATAAACAGGACATGGTACATTTCATCTGCCTAAAGCCCGGCTGAAGGAGGTCTGCTGGATTTAGCAGCCTGAGAGATTTGACGCTGAGATGCAGCCCTCCTCCAGTAGTCTCGGAGCCTGATACAACATATACAACTTTACGGCAAGGCAGCAATGAAAAGGTTTCCTGCATTGTGGTGCTTCTGCCAGGGTGGGGCAAGCACTTGCAGCTGAGCGCAGTGGTGCGTATTTGTCTGTTGGCTTCCTCCTGCCCTCGTCGGGTCCCTCTACACAGTGCCATCCAGTCATGGGAAACAGTGCAACCGATGTATTTCCTCCCTTTCATGCCGGTTTTTTGAAAGAAACATGTCATGCAAAGATTTCATGGAGGTGCCGAAGCCACAGCATGTGGCATCGCTACATGCACCCGGAAAATTGGTGAAACTAGGAACTGTGATGCCTGCAGCAGTTTTCACCACCAGAGACGTTGAGAGATGCTGGATTCCTGGCATGTTTGGAAAAAACTGGCATGCGTGAGGTTGATCTCCAGAATGAGCCCGCAGCCTTGACACCATCTTGATCGTCATTGAGGTTGTAGGCTTCTGATCTGCAGAACTAGCGAAACCAGATTAGGAACATCTACGAAGTACTGGAACTACTGCCATCAGAGCTTGAGTGGCGCATCGCCTTTACATAGGCGATTGCCTGACAAGGGGAAGGTCATGATAATGCCATGTTGGCTTGTCCAGAGAGGCATTCCTTGTGGACAGCGGCCGAGTAATTCATGCGGAAAGTATAAGGACCTCAGTCACAGTGTTGTCAGGAAGCCACATGTGATGGCCATTTCGATTGCGTTTCCTGGCTTGAATTGCCACAAGGCTTCGCATCAGTGCAAGTTTCCTGGGCTCTACTCTGCCGACCTTCAAATGAAGAGGAAGCAGGTGGAGACTGAATGCGCTCGAACATCAACAGCATGTCAAAAAGGTCAAGGCTTCCTGCAACAAGGTGATTACAGCCGCTGCTGCTGTTCTTCCTACTGCTGCTAGGGCAGCTGCTATCACTGCTATCATTGTTTGGTTCCGTAGCACTGTCGCTAGCCTGAGTGGTGAGAGGGAACGTTGCTGTGCCAGTCTTTCAGGGAATGGTGCATCTCAACCCCTTTCCGTCCCAGCCGCTTCAATGAATTGCAGGTGAAAGTGGATTGGTTCGTGCTGTCCCGTGTCAGTCCATCAGAACGGGCGGTGCCTGATGACAGACCACAAGCAGCAGCCGTCCCTTCAAGACTGCGGCAGGTTTAGAGTCTAGAGCAGCCGCAAAGCTCTTTCGCAGCCATGGGATGCACTTCCTCCACACATGTCACTGGCATGGACGAATTTGAGGATCATCGCCAGCAGGGTCGCCCAGTCAAACAGGTCCACAGATCGGAGAAGTGTAAGAAAGTTGCCACGAAGCAGATTGACACAGCTGAGCTTAGCCGAGTCCTGCCTAATGAAGCAGATGACGAGTCCACGGACCTCAGCACAGATGATGAAATCCTTAGGAGGTGGTCCACAGACTCGGTCCTCTTGCCCAGCAGTGACACCGAGAGCTTCAGCACAGCTTCCGTCCAGGTCCATGTCCCAGCACACCTGCAACAGGACATCAAAGAGGAGCCCATCCTCACGGACTTCAGAGAGCCAACGGAAGTTGAATGCTCTTGGGACATGCCAAGCCTGCGTGAACGCGCCAAGGATCTTCCAGTGGGCATCCGCGTCGCTCCACATCGGGAGATGCACAACAAGCACGTGAAGAAGCTTGACGACTACCTGAACGTGGTTTCCGCAACACCGCGGAGGTTGGAAGCCCAAGTCCGGTTGAAGAAGATGATGAGTGGAATGATCCCGGTGCGATTTTCGGAAAGCGAGGCTGCTCGCAGGAAGAGGGAGGCCCTGAACGACCTGCGCCTTTTTTGAGCAGCTGCATGATACCACAGCGTTCCAATATAACAGTGCCGTGCTGAGCAGCCTGCATGCAGTCAGCCTGAGCAGATATCAATCAACTTATGTTGTCGTGTTTTCCATCTTTACTGGAACTTGATAGCTGACTCTGCATGCTCCATTTGGATGGCGGCGTCACTTTTTGCCTCGACGTGGCACCCTTAGCTGAACTTTGTTCTACACTACCTTGACCTTCCAGCAGCTACGAAGATGTAAGTGCTATAGTCCTATTTCTAGGAAACGCAAAATGCATTTTTTTGAGAAATTGCCATATGAGCTATAGTCTAAACTCCTAGCATCCCCCTTAATAACCCTGATAATCGTCCACTATATAATCCCTTAGATAACCCCCTTGTAAGGAGTTTAGACTTATGTCGTTCCTTCCTAAAATTAGGGGGGCTTAACATAGACCCGAAAACACCATAATCCTCATCATGGAAATTTTGAGAAACTTCCATATGTGCTTTCCTGTACCTTATCTTGAAGACTGCCTGGCATTCGGCAGACACTGGTGCCGCTTGAGAGTTCCCTAACATGGGCATTTAGGTTTGGTGTAGTATGGATTACAGGGTTGCTGTTAAGGAATTTAATCTACGTTACTATATTGGGGAAACCAGGAACTTAATTTAAGTTCCTCAACAGCAACCCAGATCATAGTAGTAGGGGTAAATAGGGGGTGCAGTCCTTGCAACCTCTAAACATTCTTACTTTCCTTACAAGTACTTGCAGTTTTTGAAAGACTTCCATTCATTTGCAGTAAATCCCGTAGCTGCTTTTTCAGGTTTGATAGGGTGCCAAGCAAGGAACAAGACTGGAACTATCATAAGATGCTATGTTTCAAGAGTTTTTGCGCGAAACTATAGCGTGCTTGATGCCTGCTCCTACCACGAGACTGGAGCGCGCCTCAAGTCGTCAGGTGTGAGGCATGCCGCCTGACGCATTTCCTCCTTCCACTTCCATTTTAGAGGAGACTTTGGCAAACATCAGGAGCCTGGGCATTCTCCGAGAGAGTTTGCACTCGGAGTCTGCATCAGGGGTCTGGATTTGCGGAAGCTCCCGCTCTACCCTTCCTGACGTCCATATGCTGGCCGCCGGAAGTCAACACCTTCCGTGCACATGGCAACTTCCAGTGGCAAGTGGTGTGCGATTGCAATCGGCAGTAGAGATCAGGGGTAGGGGCTATTTGAGCCGACGGTATGTGTCACTCCACCTGCCAGAGCGGCAATTCCCAAAATGATTCTTCTTGTACCATGAGATGGGGAGCCGGGGGTGGAGTCGGCAGCCTCTGAGTTGAGCAAAGTGTGCTTTCGGCAAATCGTATCAGAAGCGGATGCTGCTCCATCCTCGGGACGAATAAACGCGACATAGTACATTTCATCAATCTGCCAAGAGGCGTCGTTGCAAGAGGACTGCAGGGTTGAATCATGCAATTTCATTTTTCTCAGCGAGGAGCAGCCCTCAAGCAGCTTGGAGTCAAACCTATACAACATAGCAGTGGAAACTGCAGCAACAAAAAGGCTTTGCGTGCGTTGCTGTTGCCAGAGTGGGGCAAGCACCTGCAAATGGACGCACGCGTGGGCTTGTGCAGCACCTGAGTCTCAAGTCCCTCTTGACAAGCTATAAGAGAAAACATGCGTGAGGATCCTAAAGCATGTTGGGAGCTGCCGCAATATGAGCATGGGGCTACGAACGCTATGCAGCAAATTCTCAGAAGCAATGAAGAAAGCGTGCCTTGCCGCTGTATGGTGTGCTTGCTGACGTAAATTGCCCCCACACTCCTTGCTGCTTCCGTGATGCCTCTCGGACAGAGAAGCCAGTCTCTGGCTATAGGCGGTATTCAACAAGTCACGTTGATCACTGGTTTGTCTCCGAAGTGGGCCAGAAGGAGACTGCAGCTTTTGGAATTCGTTTCAGCTCCATTGACAACCATGACAGCAAGCAGCTTGTGATAAAAGTTTTTGTAGCGATTGTAGAAATACTTGTCGCAATATACAAAACACTTGCAGCCACACTGCACCACAGAAGCACACGTGGACATGCTAGGATTTTTGACTTGTGGTTTCCTCAATATTCGTATCCCAGTTGCCTCACCGAACTCCAGGTCAGTCAGACTCACGCACATCCACAAAGGCCCCAGCAGTTGACGTGTGTCTGCACTACTGAGCCAGCTCGTCAGTTTCCGGTCAACAATGTGTCGGAACGTGACCGCCAGGAGCAATCTTCCCTCAAGACCGTTGTAGTGTTGAAGCGGCCCAACCCTTTCCAAAGCCATGGGATGCACGTCCTCTACGCAAGTCACCAGCATTGACAAACGCGAAAAGCGTCCAGACCACGGCCACTCATTCGAAGGGTTATTTCGATCGGAGATGCGCAAGAATGCTGTGCGCAAGAATGCTGGGCGCAAGGCGGTGAATACGACTGTGCTTAGCCATGTCATGCCTCATGAAGCACCTGACAGTGAGCCTGCAGAATTGTGGGTTGCAGACTTGGAAGACTTTGATGGTAGTGACACCGAGAGCTTCAGCACAGCTTCCGTCCAGGTCCATGTCCCAGCACACCTGCAACAGGATATCAAAGAGGAGCCCATCCTCACAGACTTCAGAGAGCCAACGGAAGTTGAACGCTCGTGGGACATGCCAAGCATGCATGAACGTGCCAAGGATGTTCCCAGAGGCTTCTGTTTTGCTCCAGACCGTGAAATGCATGATCAGCACAGGCACAGGCTTGAAGGTTACCTGAGGATGATCGCCAGGAAGCCGCACAGGTTTGAGGCTCACGTCCACATGAAGAAGATGCTGAGTGGAATGGGCCCAGTGGGCATAGACCGTGTGCAACACTGAGGCTGTCAACATGCCTCGCAATAGGAGGGATATGGAGGGATTTACATTTTTCACAGAATAAAAAAAGCAATCCGCCTTTCCAAGCAGCTTGCAGCCCTACCTTGATGTCGTGGTAGCAGGGAGTACTGGTAGCAGTAGGAGTCCGCATTCTTTCGGCAGAGAAGGGAGTAGCATGTCATGTTCGATACAAATCATCAGGCCTCATCAATGAGCTGCCCCTACAGCCTTGTGTCAGCCAATTGCCTTGCAGCACATCAGTTTAAGGGTTTGATGATGTCGCTGCAGCTGGATGCTACTTCTGCTGCTGCCACCTCTGCCGACATCTCTGCTATTGCGACTTCTGCCGTCGCAGCTGCTGCTTTGTTGATTTGCTCCTACCTCCCGCTCCCACTACTGGCAGCTATGTTTCAGTCAAAATTACTTGAAAAAGCCGCGCCTTCTCTATTGAGACGGAATCATTCCAGTTGGCAAATACTGTAGTTTGGTTTGGGCTGACAAGACAAAAAACTGAACGGCTTAGCTAGATTGACATTGTCTGCAGTTTCATGTGGCAAAATCTTCGGATTTTGAGAAAATCTACAGGTGTTTGCGACAATGTGCAGACTGTTGCAAGGATCCCTGCCTTCTTGGTAGATCAGGATTTCTTGATTAAGCTATTTTCTGGGCAAAAGCCGCGCGCCAATCTTCCAGGCCAATTTTGGGGATCCGGTAGTTCTTACAACCAAGGTGACTATATGTCTTCCCCAAGCCAAGTTCTAGACTATGCGGTTCCTTACTCCGCAGATATTCCGCCAACGAATTGCCGTCGTACGGGACATGAACAAAATGGTCTTGATTCTAATGAGTTTGCAATTAACATCAATTCATGGACAAACATCAATGGGCCTGCGCGGGCAAGAAAACGGAATTCCTAATGCTTTATGGGGATTAGATCACGGTTTCAGTGTTCTGGGTCTCGGACCCAGGGCTTGGGATGTCGGTTTTGGTGAGGTGTTGGGCACTTTCTGATTGCATTTCGGGTTTTAAGAATAAGTTACCGATTTGCCTTTTTCGATCGCTCCTTTGCACTTTGGAGGAGACTTCTGTGTACATACCTTTTTTATTTGCTGCTTCTCTCTTGTGTTGGGAGGTGATACTGCTGTGGTTGCTGGAGGGAGAAGTTTTGCAAACTCAGCATTGCGTGTGCAAGGTGATGCCCAACACTTTGTCAGCTCGTTGTTATATGTCGCAGAAGTTGGAGAGTGTCTTTGTCAAATCTTGAATTCTGCAGAAGTTTATGGTATGTCGCGAGAATCCACGGATTTTGTGACAATCACGGCGTTTTTTGCATTGCGAAAAGCTGCGGATTCTTGCGAGATCCTAGTTCTGCGAAAGCTTTAAAGATCGTACGCAAATAGCAGCATTTGCCACATGCCGTAATCTTGTGCGGGAACCCCACAATGTGAGCCTATTTGTATTTCTAGCGCAGAGCCACGAACAATGTCAAGGGCTGACATGTTTGGGCTTGCTGTCGATCATTTTCAAGAGCTGGCACGCAAATTCTAATTAGGTGGACGTAGGAAAAGTTTGGCCCCCTTGAGTAGATAGAATATGGTTTGGGGTATATTATAATAAGATCCCCATATACCCCATATTCTATCTACTTCCGGGGGACTATAACCTTAAGCACTCTAAACCTTAAACGCTAACCGCACGCACGAACCGCTCAGATCCGCTCAGGCTTGCTCAGTCCTCTGAACTTGAGCTCGGCATGATAAACTGAATTCCTATGTGGATAGTAGTATGAACAGTCCTAATCGTAATAATTGTACCAATAGTACTAATAGTACTAACAGTATTGATAATATTAATAATATCAATAGTGTAAATAGTATTAATAGTAATAGTAGTATTTGTATTATTATTGTTATTGGTAGTAGTAGAAGTAGTAGTAATTGCAATAATAACAGTAAGAATATTAGTGAGGATCGTAGTACTAGTATTGTTAAAAGTGGACCTGCAAGGCCTGCTTCATAGTCTGTGCAAAAGGTTCAGTCATCAGCAGCTGTAACATCAAAGGAAGAAGAGACGTAAGAGTAGAAAGGGTATGAGGGGTTGACGGGGCCTTATGGTGGTCAGCTACATACTATATCAGATCCACTGACGCTGCAAACTGCATCAGATGGCGGTATTTTTATGTTGAATCCATGCTGCACGACCTCTGGACGAACCTGATTTGCAGGAACTTTCCAAGACCTAGGCCTTGACTACATAGGATATTGATTCTATGCGTGCGTGTGTAAGGAGGAGTCTTGACCTGAGTTCAAATGGTGTGCAGAAATGGTGTGCAGCCAGATATGTCTCATGTGGGCGGGAAAGTGCAGACTGCCTGGCTTTCAAGCGAGGATGATAAGTCTGCTTTCCGCTTGCAGTCCCAGCGATGGCAATTGCTCGCCAACAACTAGATTCTGTTCCTATCTGAGCATTGATTTCTTCAGGCTTTGATGGCTGTGTAAAGTCCCAAGCCGGGAGTATGACTAGCCATTGCGCATGATCCACATAGCTTGTACATGATTCACGTAGCTGGTTCAAACCTATCTCTTGCCTGAAAAGAAGTCACTGATCAAGCTTTTGGGCGCAGGGCCATGGCCTGCCCCGTGGCACAGAGATCGCTGACTGTACAGCTCGGCTGCCTGCCGTATTCCGTCATTCCAATTCCTCTTTTTGTGGGACTTTGGCAACAGTAAGGGAACCTGGGCATTGACCATGCATCTTGCGATGTGGTGTTTGTACCAGGGCCCCGGCTTGCGGAAGCTCCCACATGTCCCAATTATTCTCCTTGACACCCACACCCCGCCTGTCCAAAGCCAATGTGGTCATGGCGAAATCCTTGCAAGTGATACGCCTCACCAATTCAGAACAGGAAAGGCTCAGGAATTGCGCTACACAGCAGGAATAATTGATGAATGCTTACAAGGATTGCTACGCATTGCGCGTATGCACTTGCAATGGTATGATTTCCTTTTGCTTGGGTTGAGGTGAGGCAGCTAACAGTCCGAAACTGTTGTCTTGACATTGAAAGGTTGCCTGTTGTGTTGCAATGCTGCCTCATTCTTGGCAATATATATTTGCACAGGATACATTGCAGGAGGACTGCAGCAGGATGGAAGTTCAGTATGCGCTCAGAGGCATGTAATTCACGTGCTGCAGGCCTCCAGCGTAAATCTCATACAGCTTGCGAGCCAGGCATTAGGAAACAAATGCTTTGCGCAGTGCGGCGATGTTGCAAGTGCGGAGTCAGCACATGCGGCTATTTGCTTTTCTGGGATTTGTTTTCTGCCCCTACCAATCGTGCTGCCTACGTCCCTTGACAGGCATTGTCCCAGTCTGTATAAGAAACCCTGTTACAACAACATTCAGCAAGTGAACAGAAGCGATGAGGAAAGAGCACTCGGCCTTTGAGGTGTAAGCTGCCTCCTGCAAACTCTCCCCCCCGATCGCCCAGTCTCCTCAGATTGGGGGTTACTCTACCTGACAGTTGAAAACTGTATGCTTCACAATCATGCAGTCAAGCCTTCCTTCCATTTTCTCGGGCGATGTGCCTGCGGCAGGTATCTGCTGCAGTTGAGCACTGAGACAGCTGCGCGGAGATCTTAGTAGAGCGATCGAATTGCAGTTATGATCAGTTATGAATGCTATTGGTGTCCACATTCTTGAGCTTGCGGTGGCTTTAAATGTTTTTGGTTGGAGGCCTTGAACTTAATTCAAAGTGGGTTGCCGTGCGACCGCCTTTCCGGCCGGCCCGGTTTCACATAGTGAGATTTGCGTGGACCTTTGCCGGCCACACGTTTGTCCTACTTCAGATTTGGCTGCGCGACTCGAAAGGCTGATACGAGCAGTCCACCTCAGAAGGGTCTTTCTCTGCTAAACGTGCAAAGGTACGATGATGATTGCTTGTGCTGCTTCTGCTGCATGTTTGTGTCTAAGGAACGTGTATTGTACGGAGCCACAACGGGAAGCAAAAGGGCGCAGTATTGCAGGATTTGTAGGGTTCCTATTTTGTAAAGGGTCCCATATATATAAATCTTAAAAGTTCTTATGTAATGAATCCGAATTTATCGCCAGGATGTCCTCCTGCTAAGAAATAAACGCTAAACTCTACGTACCCCTAAGCCTGAATCCAACAGATTGCCACTGGAATTGGAGCTCAAGCCATCTTCCTGTCCGGGAGCCGTGGCTGGAGCAATGGCAGCAGGCTATGGAGTCTCTTGGCTGCTCTTTGTACTAGCTTGTGTGTTTATTGACAGCAGGTTTCCACTTGGGAACCAACAATATTATCATCCCGCATTCTTGACTGATGGACTTGCATGTCATGTATGGAGCGTCTCAAATTCCAGAACGTTCAAAGGTGAGGGAAGGTTTTGCATGAACTCCTGCAACGCAAAAAGTAGAGGCTTTCTTCGAGTAACTCCAGTTCTGGAGTTAAGTTCCCAACTAGGTTGCCACGACCGCATGTGTTCCAGACCATGGATTTCACAACTTTAGATGTGAGTTTCGGTAATGTCAAAGTGAAGTTGCTACGTGTTGTTGCTCTCACGACCTTTATGTTAATCCGAGCCTTCTTCCCATCTTTTCGTTCGTGGCGCCTTGCCGGAGGCCGCCGCAGGCGGCGCTGGGAAGAACAAGCGCAGCTTGTCTGAATCATTTCATCCGATTCCTTGCTGTTTGGGACCGAGGATGATAGGTTTTGGGGCCTTGATTGGGAGGCTGTTACTCCCTTCCCCTTGCCACCGCCACATTGTCAATTGTTGCAAGATGACTTTTCATCGTTCTGGACTTGGGAGATTCAAAGGGAAGGAGCTAAGGATCCAAAGACTGATAATTTGTCCCATGTTACTTGGCAAAGCATGGCCTGAAGCCATGGTTTAGCAGAGGGCTTTGCCAGCTTGTGTCAGTCAAAACCTGTGGAAGTTTCAGATCCTGTCTTTGAACGGTCCACTTCTGCCCTGCCAGTTTCCTATAGACAGGGCCGCTCTATGTGATGTCACCAGGGTCCCACGCCTGCAGTTCAAGGATGCTCTAGGCACATGACGAGGCCACGCAGCAAATTCCAAGATCCATTGTCTCATCTGTGCACGGAAGCATGGAGGCAAAGGAGAAAGAAAGTTGTGGACCCCATTCGTCTTATATCACTGAAGATAAAGAAGATATCTTGCAGGTACAATTGTCCTGACGAGTGAGCCTTTGGAGCTTGGACCAGTCTAAGAGGTGTAGCAGCATAACGTGCAACCAGCATCTTCAGCAATAGATATCACCAGTTTTTCTGGTCCAGGGATCTTGGCACTGTTCGATGTGGATGGCACCCTCACGGAGCCGCGGAAGGCAGGCAAAGCGCTTCCTCTGCTTGTTTTGATTGAGTTTTTTGAACGTTTTGGACGATGATATTGCTGCTGGTACGGGCGGCAAATGTGTGGTGTTCGTTCCAGAGCGACTAGAGATCAGAATCGGGGCAGGGAATACTGATAGTCTGGTCATAAAGGGGACGATGTCAAGATCCTCGGCGCCATGTTTTGGGATGTGGAAGCCACTCATCGTGAAACCTGTGGAGTGGTTTGTGGCTGGGCACGTCTTTCCTGCACTGCACAGCCTATTGCCCGATGCATGATTGCATGTGGTACTCTAGGCAGGCGGATGTTTTTTTGCGTTGCGAGGCTTCTCTGATCTGACTCCCTGGCCCCTTTCTCCCCCAGGTGGTGTCGCCAGAGACCGTTGCCTATCTCCAGGAACGCTTTGGGCTGTGTCTCGGGCAATTGATGACGGAACTTTCAGAAGCCGTCAAATTATTCTTGGTATCATGCAGCAGCATGAGCAGTCCCTGAGGCTTCTGAGATATAAACATTTCTTTGCAACTGTTTGTTCGCAAGCTCACGGAGGCCCTACGCGAGAAGATCTCCATAGGGGTTGTTGGAGGCTCTGACCTCGCCAAGCAGAAAGAGCAGCTCGGAGACAGCTTGGGCCCTACTGTAGGTCCAACGGCCAGCAAACTGATTCGAAAACGGTTAGCAGTTAGCAGAAAACCCTACAACCATATGGCCCATCATGGCAGTTTCCATGAGTATCCCAATATAAGGACAGGCACAGCCTTGGCATTGTTTGGAAGTCGCACCTTTTCCAGAACCATAACTACTGCTGGAAAATGTGTTCACCAAGCCTAGCCCGCTTACCAGCCTTCGCCTAGGTCCCAACCTCTTCGATTTCTGCTTCTCAGAGAATGGATTGCTGGCATACAAGGCCTACCTCAGGTACAACTCCCTAGGCCTTCAGAACACAGGTCAGGTCTACTTGCCTAGGAGTAGATTCAGGGATAGGGCTAGAATTGCTCAAACTTCCCCCTCCAGATTATGTTCGGAGATACATGTTTGCTTAGACGCAAGCTCTGCTGCTGTATCAAACTGCAGCTTACCATCAAGCGACAGGCTTGGCTTGCATCTCATCTGAGACTCGGGCAAGAATCTGTAAGCAAGGCTGTAGAGTGTGATTGGCTCCTGCCAAACTCTGAGAGGATGGCGCAAAGATTGGTGAGACCTCGATAGTGCAACATCTCGGCGAGGCCCTGTGCCGGACATGTTGCTGTGTCAGGCATTTTGTTCCTGCTTTCACGCAGTTGGGCTTGCAGTAAATCCAAACAAGATATACGTCCTCCCTCATCTTTGGATTCCACTGGGTCAATCTGTCTCCTTGAATCTTGGCGTATAGATTGAGTCCTTTCCTCCAGTCAGTAGTTTGATGGTTTCCCAGTCTAAGCAAACACATACTTGCCAGCCTAGGCTGTTGCCCCTAGCCTGAATATGCAGGACCATAACGGCATCCGAGTAATTTTACGGAATCTTGCTTTGACAAAACCTTTTACCGGAGCCCAACATACGAGTAAGTGCCTTTGAAAGGGACCCTTGTCTTCACAGGGCCCTTTTAGGTTCCATGTCCGTCAGGAAGATCTTATTCTGGAAAAAGTCATCATGCTCATTTCCTATGGGCCTTGGATCAAGCTTTGCGTTCGGGAAGCCGTCAAATTCATATTCTCACCCCTAGGACAGGCATTGCGAGCAGCCCGAGGAATCGCCCTACAAAAGGAATCGTGACACACTTCAACAAAGCAGACTTCAACAAAGGACTATAGCTTTCCATTCAGTATGCCATGCTCCTGTTCCGTGTGGATTTGCTTGCAAAGGCAACACAACACCCTCGTGTACTCGTCAGTATCCTTACATTTTTTAAAAGGCTTTCCAAGACCGGCAGCCGTCAACACATAATCCCTTTATAGTTCCCGGGTGGCGCCGATCTCCATGCATGCCGTGAAGCCAAGCCCTCCAGGAAAAGCTGAAGAAGCTTGTCAACTGGGTGCTCAAGTCCCGTGCCCAGATTTTGCCGAGGTGTTCGAAACCAAAGCGCAGAATCATGACAACACTTGTGGGGCTTGGCGTGCCCATAGTCATTTTCCGAGGAAGCAATTTATCTGCAGAGATTGTTTGGACGGGGCAGCAGGGTAATCATCTTCAGTGACTAGAGTTGTCTTGCGCTTCATAGAATGTTCACTGGTGATGTAGCTCCTGGTGGTCTGGCGTCCTTTTTGGAGTCTGGAAACTCCATTTCGATCGTCCAATCAAAAGCATGATATTAGCAAATCTTTCCCATGGGTTTGGGTCCTCCCGGGCGACAACACGCCACCAGAAGGACCTGAAGCAGAGGCTAATGCTCTGACAGTCTTCAGCGAGATTGAAACATGTGCTCTTCTGTTGCAGGACCCTTGGTCAGGTCCATTTTATGCTACTTCCCTGGAAATGAATAGGCTTGCGCCACTATTTAGCCTGACGGGGTTGCATAGAGCATTCAAGCAACAGAAGGACACGGGATCTACCCCTTCTAGCTTTGATATCTAGCGCATGTAGCAGCTCCATGCATGTGACCCACACGTTGATGACGATGGCCTGATCTTCTTGCTTGGTCAACACCAACCTCCCCTCTAGAACAACTACACGTATCCCCCAAATCCTTGGCAACGGTTCAGCAGACTCCAAGACGCCATACTATGATCACGTCTAGAGTCTAGAGTTCTTGTACTGGTCCTAGATCCTAATTTTGTGGGATCACTGAACTGCGATCTTGTTGAGGCACAGCTTTCCCAAAACGACCGCAAGAAAGTGGTGGACAGGATCTGAAGAGTCTCCCCCACTGAAGGACTAAACTCTGAGCTCTCAAGCCCAATGTTCCGTCTCTCCCAGGTACTTCTCAGAGTTAGACATTCCTGTGAAGCGGGGTACCTTCGTGGAGTTCCGCCAGGTTTGATGGGGGTGTGTAGAGGGTGTGGAAATGTGGAGAAGTATAGCCTGAGTGCAAAGCCGTCAAAAGTCAAGGGTAAAGGTTTACTTTCGGGTTCGAGAGTTTCTGGCTGGAGGGCTGCAGTGTCACCGGTTTTAGAAATTGGCGTGGGTTTCTGGTGCAGGTTGGTTCTGTCCTGCCCAGAATGATAGCCCCTCAATTTACTTTGGATCGGTTGAGGCTTCACCAGGGACTGTTCTTGTATGTGATCGGTTTCCCAAATTGGGAAAGCTTTCGGAGTGCCTCTTCCAAGCATTCAGATCTTTCTGTGTGATTTGAACTTTCAGCCTTGCCTTGCCTTGAAGTCCGATTGCTAGCCGAGCATTTTTGCTTGGCAATTCGCGGCACTGCGTCCTAGATTCCATTTAAGTGCTGAAGCCTTTGCGCCAAAAGGGTGGTGTGCCCTTTGAATTTTGAATGGCTTGCCTCAGTGTTATGTAGGGACGTTAGCGGTTGTGAATGAATAGAATTCTGTTGTCCGCTCAGAACATGCTGTGAATCTTGTCGATTGAGGGAAGCCTGCTTTTGGTTGTGATTCTCACAGGCTAGACCACCCCAGTGTGCCCAACACTTGAGGCCACAGTTTTTGATGAGTCTCATGTCAATAGTTTGGAATTCAGTGACCCTCAATCATGATGCAATCCCAAACCTGACGAAACCATTTCTCCGAATGTAAAAGCTCCAAAATCATCCTAAGTCCAGTGAAGCTGCGCCCCAAGCCAAAGCCAGGGCATGCTGAACCTCTCCCCCATCGGTCGTAACTGCAGCCGCGAAGAGCGTGCCTGGCTTGGAAGAGTGTCACGAATAGATTGTGCAGAGATTTTGGGGCCTTTAAAGGTTAAGTGTTGCGGGGCAGCGTTGCAGGTCTAGTGTTCAGGGCACATTTTTAGGCGTACTGGTTCGCTGTTTTGGAGGTCAAGTGACGGGCTCAAAGTGTGGTGGCAGAGGGGTTCAGGGGTACAAGGTTTTACTTTTTTGGGGCGCAGCAGGGTTAGGGCTGGGTGGTTTGGGGTGTTCGAATACTTATTCTGAGGAGCAGTAGCAGTTATGGCATTTGGCTGAGGGGCACGGGTTTTAGGATTCGGTGGGCAGGGTTTGGAGTGAAGGCACCGCTGACGGCTAAAGGGATATTGGAGATTTGGGCTTGGGTTTCGGGGATTCAGGTGTGTTACAAGAGGCTTTCGAGTTTTTGTGAGCCGTAGAGGGATGTAGTGGGGTTGTGGGGAACAGGGCGTCAAGGGGCATTAGTTTAGGCCTCAGGGAGTGAAGGGTTGGGTTTTAAGAAACTATAGGGATGATATTGGGGTTATATGGGGATACTGGAAAAGAAAATGGAAACTAGAGGCATTATAGGGGTTATATAGGGATGAGGATTTGGAGGCCTCATGAAGGGTATAGGGGCAGACAGGTGTGGGGCTACAGGTCTCAGGTGTTGAGAATGTACGAATGCTTGCTTTAATGCTTAGGAATGTAACGTAGATGCTTTTAGCGCTTGTGGGCTTAACTCTGCTTTCAATTAAGGGCATGGGGTTCCAAGATCGGGAGTCTTGACAAGTTGAGTTTTCAGGTTTCAGGGTGAGGGGTTTTGCGGGTTAAGTTCAGGGTATAGGGTTCAGCTGTCACAGCATTGTAGAGGGGTACGGGGGTTTATCGTTAAGAGCTTTGGGGCATAACATTTACAGTAGTTTACTGCGATTTTAGGGCTCAGAGTTTAGGGGTACGAAGTTGCATCATGGAGCGGCCCTTGTGGTAAGGATTCGTTCATAAAGAGCATTGAGCTAGGAAGCAGTAGTGGAGGGAGGGGAGGAGGGGGGAAGGGAGGGAGTGAAAACGCATAAGCGCAGGACAAGCCCCATTTCCCCATCCGGATTTCTTTTTTTGTTTGTTTGTTTCTTTGCTTGTTTGCGAAGTTGGCTGTTCTGACACTTCGAGCTTGGTATCTTTTCTTGATCATGTTCGTGTCATAACTGCTCTGAAACGCTTATTCTGAGATAGACTGTCGTGACTGTTGTGTCCAGATTCCTTGTGCTGTTCTTGATCGTAGCTTGTTAGTTCCCATGGTGTTTGCAGCCAGGCATGTCAATTCAAGATGCCCCGGCAGGGCTCCTGTATTCTCACTGTCATAACTCTCGCCTTTCCAACCATACAGCTCCTCGAGCTTAGAGAAATCCTACCTGAATCCGGCTGCTCCTGCTGTTATTGGAAATTCTGGGGATTCAGCATCTGGTGGTTGTTCGAGGTGGCCAAAACTTATCTTGGATATGTTTGCTCCAAGAGGGTTCTCTGACCAAAGAACAGTAGCGGCAGCAGGGGTAGCACAGCGAACAGGTGCACATATGGGTTGCCAATGTAAGGAACGGGTGCCAAGACTCGGACCCTGGAGCACATGTTGCCATGAGGCAATGAATTCGAAAAGTTCGATCTAGCGAACAACATTCGAAAGGCCTGTTGACATGTTGCAGTGAAGTTGCTCATGCAGCGGTACGGATGCGCGTGAAGGAGCCTTCAGGAACAAATGCCCCCACTTCATGGTTCTCGAAGCCTTGTGCACCTTTCAGAATGGCTTTGCCCAGCCGGTACCCTACATGAAGAGTTTGGAGCGACCTTTGGAAGTCATCCTCGTGCCTGGGTGATTGTTGCCTGCCGGAGACAATGGTGGCCAAGATGAAGGAGGAGTTTGCAGACTACAACATGACCTACTCTATAGGCACCCAGCTTTCCAGGGTTGGGAGGTGGAGCCATAAACTGCCGATGAAGTTCAGGGTCTGGTCTGTATCGCTTTGAGCTGCCTTTTGCATTCAAGGATTTGTCGAGCCAACAGGTAGACACATGAGCGCAGCTAGTCAGCTAGTCCTTCAACTGCCGTGAAGGCAGGACGGGCTTCTGCTAGGTAGCCAAACTCGTCACGACTTTGCCGGCGAACAGCAAGACCATCCTACGGATGCATTGCTGCTGTACAGTCGCCGTGTCAGGTGGGCAGATCTCCTTCGATGTTTTTCCGTTCCCGGGTTGCAGCAAGACGGTGAGAGTATTCCAACGTTATGGTTTCTTTGACTGTCTTCATGAGAAACGCCCTCGGCAGAGCAGAGGTAGCGGCAACTTGCCGAGCTCTGTCGTGACATTCCGAAGTCAAAAGCCTTCATCAATCGAGAAGCCTTCCAAAGCAGCTTAAGCAACAGGATGCGACAGGTTAGTGCAGACAGGTGTTTTGGTGGCAGCAATGAGCTGGAATCACGATGCAATCAACTTCAAGGGCTTAGTGTTGAAAAGCAGACTCGTGGAGGACGTCGAAGTTCCGGTACAAAATGTGCATGTAAAGTTGCGGCGTAGTCTGCGCCTTTCAAGAGAAGATTTTGATCATTGCCATTCAATGACCGAGCTATTTCCGTGTGCATGTCGAAGGCAGCCGATGCGTTTGCCTAAGGACTGGTTGGGACAAAACGTACTGCCTTCGCTACCTACCCGAGGGTGATTTCGATGAGATCCATTTCTTCGGTGACAAGACGCTTCTTGCCATGGTAGTGTTCTTGTGCTTGGCGCGTGAGGTCTCCTGCAAGGCTGCCTCCGGCATCCAAACTGTCATGCCCTCCATGTCGTCCGCAAACTGAGCCTTGCGTTCGTAATAATATTGATTGTAGGAGCGTGTTGGCCCGCTATTACTAGACACATGCTTTATGAGCCAGTTTTCAAAGAATGGCATGGAGATGATGAGCTGGGAGGTTGCGGATCAAAGTTCAGAGTTGACGTCTTGCCATCAAATGTTAGGGACGTCTGGAAACGCCCTGGCGCACACCCCAAATCATCTTCTGATTTGCACAGGTCCCAGGTTGCTGGCGGCAAGTAGACCCTGCTTCTGATTTTTACAGCTGTAAATTCCCACCTGAGGTTTGAGGGTGGCAACGACTTCGAGATCTATACCCACCCCAGGACTGAAAAACAGTCTTCAATTGGCTCATTGAAAAGAGACCTTCCAATGTGCCTCGCAACAGGGGGCAGCATTGATTCTGGCATGCTTGGGCGCGCCTACTATGCTGCAGCCGTATGGTAGCAGTTAACCTTTGCCCTCATATGTTTGGGAGATTGCTTTGCTCTGTACAGTAAGTGGCAGGCCTGGTACGATGTGCGGTGGTATGCTGACACATAAGAATTTAGAACGCAGTCTGCAGACTTCAATTTAAGAGCGCTTGGTTGCAATGTGGAGGCTTCATTCAACTTGACAGAGCGTGGCAATGTAGAAGACAAGTTTTGTTTTTTTCTGTATAAGCGAAGATGTAGGTATCAACTCACTCAGACAGGCTTAGGTGCTGTGTTGTGTCCCTGAGTCCCAGGACCAAAGGTCACAGCATCATGGCTGAGATTTCAGTATGACTGAATGTGCTTCTTGGGGGTTAGGTTGGGAATGGATTCCTTGAATTAAGCTGGTCTATGATTGGTGGGAGGCTCTTCTTGTGATGGTCCAAGCCCAATATGTATCTAGCCTCAAGATCCGGAACTTCAAATTCCCTCAGACTAATCCACGCTCTGATGTTCCACAGGTTGGACTTTGAAGTGCGTGATTGCTTTTCTGCAGGTTGGGCTTTAAGATTGAGATCGTAAGATAGGCACGGGGCATGCTAAACTTTTTCTCAGTTTACGAACTACCAACCTGACCCTGAGAGCTTCCTGAGCTGAGGCATTGATGATGCCAACCCTTTGACTACTCTCAAGAAGTTTGGCACTGAGTTTGGGTTTCAGATGACAGGGCCGGGTGAGTTGGACCTTGCTGGTGTCGCTCATCATGGCTCATGCAAGGCTGGAGGAGCTCTTCGGCGTGGAGGCGCCCAAAGCGCTGACACCGCCCAGTGCCGCGGAGATGTTGTAGCCGGTTGAGTTTGTGGGTATTCAGCATTTGGCTTTTTGGCTTGCACGCTCAGATGATTGCAATCAGGGTTTTCATCCAACAGCTGCCATTTTTGATCATAGATTTTCCTGCTCAAGTTGAATCTACGCCCTGTGTCACTTTCAGCTTCGGGCTTTTCAGTGGAAGACTCCAGTATTTAGCAAACGCACGAGGAATGGGCTAGGCCAGCATGTTTGAGGCTGGCTAAATTCCATTTGATCCTGCGATGCTGTACTAACTGGGTGTTGAGATTACTTGCTTGGGCATGACAGCAGCATTCCCGAAGAATGCTCAGCACAAAAAAAGGTACTCTGCAAGATCGTAGCAAGTATTAGGCGGCCAGGAGGGAGTCCCTTTTGAAGTAGTGCTGAAGTCCCGAGTTGAGAAGTTCATAGAGTCTACCCAGCATTCCAGGACATGTACAGGGATTTGATGCCGATTATCAGCCAGCTTTTTCTGCAGTCCAGCAGGGAGTGTGAAGGGAGGGCAGCCATTTCATTGCCCGCAAGCATTCAAGGCAATTCAAAGCCTTTAATTCTGCAACACATTTGATTTGAGAATGTGCTTGTAGAGTGGGTCACTTTGTTGGCGTTTGATAGAAAGGACATTTTGTTTGGTACTTTCCCATCTGAAGTAGGAGTAAGGGATGGCCAGTCAAAGATGCATGACGCATATGCCAGGCCTGTTCCGTGGCGGTTCTTGCTTTTGACATGCTTTGACTTCAACCTGGAGTTTTAAGAGCAACAGCTACGAGCGCAACATTGAGCAGGGTGGTGGTGCAGGTGTTGCCCAATGCTCGCACATTATCAAGATCTATTCCCATTAGCTCGTAGATGTAGATTCTTATTTTCAAAGCGCTTTTCCGAAGGCTCTATCATCTTCTGGTAGCTATATCGTAC